ACGTGTTGCCCAGCGGGCCGTGCAGGGGGATGTGGTGCCGCTCTATCGCCGTCCATAATTGCGCCTCTTGACAACCGCGCTCCTTATCCCGGCAGCAGATGTTGATCTCTGGGCTGTGCTGTTCAGCTACACACCACGCTCGACCTGAGCAATCGCAGGGAACTCTTGCTTTATGCTGTGGCAAGGTCGGGATTCGGGAAGCAGATTCATTCCTTGTCATTGGGGAATGGGATCGGAGGACAAATATAGGGGGTGGGCAAAGCAGCAAAGCTCAATAGTGAGGGTTCGCTATTGTATATTGTGGTAAGCTGATGAGTGAGCTATGAGCTTATATATACAAACACAGCTAGCTAGGAAAGAGGAAGACTGTTTGCTGAAATTCCACTCTGTCTGGCCCACGCAGGGTCGTTCATCTCAACGAGAACAACGATTCCGAGCAACGGAATGGGTTGCAAACTGCTGCTCGACATGCAGGGGCCCAGGCCCCACAATATCAGGGCAAAACATCCTGATTATTACCCTGATTTCAGGATGCAGGTTTGAATTTGCCCTGTAATTTCAGAATGGTGTTAATTTTTACCCTGTGATCTCAGGATGTTGTAAACGATATGCCCTGGAAATTCAGGATGGTTGTAGTGTTTTTCCCTGTAGCGTCAAGATGAATGTCGGAGCTTGCCTGGCACGTTTTTTGAGAAGGGGGGGGGGGGGGGGGGGGGGGGGGGTGGGGAAATCTCCCCCGCGGATTTTCTTCCCCGCCCCGTGTATTTTTCCTGCCTTCGCACAACGTCCGCAACGCAAAAACCAAACCCTTCAAATTCCTCGCTGGTCTGGTTTGGAAGAAGGTAAGGCAAGGCAACACTATCGTCCTGAGCGAGGCATTCACTGGTAGGTGCGCGTCTCTCTGATGTTGAGCCTCCATCTCTGTTCCAGGCCTTGCTAAAAGTGCTACCCTGAACATCCGTTTATTTGCCCTGACCGGTCAGGATTAGTTTCTGTTGAAGCCCTGAAACTACAGGATGCATTTGAAAATTTCGAATGACAAATCAGGGCATTTTTAAAGATTCTGACGAGTTGCCCTGAGGCCTCAGGATGCCCCAAATCGTAGCACAGGCCCTGCAGGGGCCAGCGACCAGGCCCTCAGATACACTTTTAGGCACGTAAGTGCATCAGGGTCCCTTTGTGTAGCATCCCTGATCGACAGTGTCCCAAAACAAAAAAGCGTGAAAGTTCAGTGTTGTAAAAAAAAAAGTCTGATGCATCAGTGTTCCCCACAAAAAAGCCCGATGTCATTGAAAGTCTCTAGATTAATTAGAAAACACTAGGGTTAAGCCTTCTACTCTCTATCTGTCTGTAATCTAATCTAAACCATAGTCTAGCTAGCTAGATAGGTAGCTTGGCAAGGCATGAAGCATAGCATAGCATTTCTCTGGGAGAGTTCAATAATCATCATCAGATGAGGCCTGCTTGTCATTGTCATCATCATCATCATCACTTCCCTTAGCCTGCCGTGCTTCCAACTCCTCCTCAACTGCCTCCTTTCCTTTGCCACCACTGCCCTCCCCCTCTCTTGCTGGAGGTGCCGCCACATAGCTTCTTGTAGCTACGCTTCTTGTAGCTGCGCCAGATCTGCATCACCTCATCGTAGTTGGGTGCGTACTCGAGGAGAGACATCGTGATCAGGTCTTCAAGGCGGGCGTCCTTGAGGCTCCCCCGCTGCCACGATTTGATGATATTCTGGCGCGAAAAGCCGCGCTCACACTCCACAGTGCTCAGCGGCAGCACGGCGACAGCCACCCAGAGACGCACAAGGTTGGGGTAGCTCGTCGTTCAGTCGCTTGTCTTCAGCATTGCTGTAAGGACGGCGTGGAAGCTGCGCTCGTTCTTCGGGGCGCTAGCGAGGATGGGGCAGAAGGTCCGCAGCTCTTTGATCGCCCGCCGCTTGTCAACCCCTGCCAGAAAGAACAGAAGGGAGAGAGAGAGTGGATTAGATAACCTGGGATACCCATTCACAGTACAGTTTTAACCTGCACAGATGCACCTCATGGACAGCACAAATGTATGCAACAACTTTACCTAGAATGATGTAGTCCGTGTCCTCTGCCCTGAACAGCATCACGAGTGACATGAGCCACTCAAGACACTGCTTGTGGCGCTCCGCTCTCCCATCCTCCCACTCGTCTGGCATGAAGAGCCTCATTCCCACCAGGGAGTCCAAGCCCTTGAACCGGTTGCTGAGGTCTCGCACGAGCGTCTCGGCGAACTTGGTGCAGAGATCGACGCAGGCGTCGTGAGTGCCGAGGGTTGGGTAATCAGGGTTTGGGTTCTCGTGCAGCTCGAAGGTGTGTGTAGTCGGCCGACCGTCCGAGTCGACTCCCTGCACCTTCACCTCGGGATTGCCCCCAGCAGGCCCGTGCTTCTTGATGAACGGGGAGAGGTGCGCGCTCATCCCGCCTCCGAAGTCGTCACCACAGTCCACATAGCGGGACTCGAGGAATGACATGGAGCGGCGGATCTGCGCATGTACACTTGCAATGTCCAGCTGTAATGGGCCGACAGGGAAAAAAACAATGGGTTGAAGGAAGGCCAAATCAGTGCGATGCCGCATCCTATTAAGATGTACATTAAACCAGTAACAAACACAAATAGAATCTAAGAACACAATAGAGGATTTCCATTAAAGGTGCAACTTACACTGTACAAAGAGATGCTAGTAACCCTGCTCACCTCTCGCTGCTGGAATGCCCTGTTCAACACATTGAGCTGCTCGAGCACGTCAGCAAGGAAGTAGAACAGGAAGTGAAACCTGTAGCTCGTGACGAGATCATACAGGGTACTGTCCCACTCATACAGCATCACGATGAGCGCGGGGAACACCCCCGCGCGCAGAATGGCGTCTCCCCTGGAGAGCCAGCGGACGTCGTGAATCCCTTGTAGGTCAAGGTTTGTTCTCGTGAAGACTTCCTACAGCCCAATGAACCTTTGGTGCCAAGGGCCAGAACGCCCCAGATGCTCAGCGACTTGGCGGAGAAGAGAGTCCACCATCGCGAACTCGCGGACTTCTTCAGCTGCGTCTTTTGCAGCGAGCGCCTCCCTGCGTGCATAACAACAAACATACAGGCACCACCAGGCATGAGCAGGAGATGCTACAGGTACTCCGGAGAAGAGGAAACACATCCGACAACATACCTGTGGGCGATGAAGTGGCTCGATACAAGATGCGGGATACGGAGGCGAAGACGAGCGACCACACCGTTGTGTTTCCCCATCATCACACTCGCTCCGTCAGTGCTTATGCCAGAGATCCTCGCAAGTTCAATGCCGAGGGCCTGCAGGTGGGACAGGAGCACTGAGAGGAGAGAGGCGGCATCGCCCTTCTCCACGGTCAGCAACGCAAGAAACTCAGTGACGACACGGTTCTCACGGATGAACGTTGCGAACAGAATCATGTGCTTTCCCCGACACCGGTCCGTGCTCTCGTCGCATGTGACGCCGAGGTAAGGGCTTGACAATATGTACTGCAACTGCGTTGTGTGCAACCACGTGGCCATCGACTGTGTTAGCTGCGCGAAGCCGTACCTGCAGCGCGTGTCAAATAAAACATTGTCAGAGAAGAATTTTAGAATCACAACCACGGCTTAAGTGCATGGAAAAGGAAACTCACGTCGTGTAATAGGTTCCATAGCCTTTTGCTGGGAACCCTGGCACCTTAAGACCCGCGAGGTAGCGAACAAGATTCACCCATAATTCTATGGGTGCATTTTGCTTGGTGACAAAGAGGATGGAGTCCAGCAGCTTGATGACACGCTCCTTCTCCGTGTCGCGAGCAAGATTGTCGCCGTTGATCCGTGGCTGCCTGGCTGCTTCCGAAAGGAGCTTCTCCTGGTGTTTCAACGCCTCCTTGTGCTTGGTTGTTGCCGCATGCCGTTTGAACGCCTGCGTCTGAACGGATGTGGCTCCCTTTCCGCCTCTCCCGCACGGTCCAGCGTAGCCTGCGTGCTCCGTACATACGCTGCACTTAAAAGCAGGGAGACCGTCAGCAGTTTTTAGCAGAATTACCCAGGAAAAACGATCTAGCCACTCGCTTTTGTACTTATACAGAGCCTCCGCGTAAATTGCGTCTGGACCTGCCGGTTTAGAAGGCCCAGGAGTTGATGGCGACAACTGCGTGCCTGCGGTCGCGGGCGTCGATTGTTGGTCGGCAGGCGAAGCCGGTGTTGCTCCTGCGTCACCTCCCTTCTTGCCCCACGTCAGCGTTGACTGCGTGTACCTGGCGTTCTTCTTAGCCACAGGTACCGCCGCAGTTTCTTCAACAGAAGGGTTGGAGCTGTCTTGTTCCAACACTGGCTCTGTAGGGGAGGGACACAAAGGCTCATCTATGGGTTCGAATGGAATATCGACGGGCGGCGCGACAGCAGGCGCCTTTCCATGGTTATCGACTTGCGCGAAGCTGGAGAAAAGCAGATCCAGGCCGGTAACTGCAGCGGAAAGATCAACCGGCGAACGACGATGGGCATCATCGCTGTGGTCGCCAGTTTGTTCAGTGGCGTGCGGGTGGTCCGCCATTGATTGCAGCGCTACTAAGCAGCATTTAACGGGACTTACGAACTAGCCTAACAAGAAAGAGGATAGAGGTTTGTCAGGAAGAGGAAACACACGGCTGACTGCCTCTTGGTACACCAGGCAGCAACGCGACGAAACCCCAAGCGGATGGAAGGAAGGCATGGAGCAGAATGGGATGGGGGCCTGGATGGCAGGTAGCACGGCTGGGCGGCGTGGATGCATCAGCGCTTGCCAGCACGACCTAGACAAAACGGGCCACTGGCCTGTGGGTGCAACATATGGGACAGAATCCCTCGCATCGCAGCGTGCCAGCATCGCTATTGTAATTGGTCAAGTCACATAATGTTGCAAATGTGGCCAATGATCGGACCATGCGCGCCAACTAAGCAACCATCAATGTGGGCAAATTTGTCCGGTGGTCACCGCCAGGCCTTGCTGACACCGCGGGAATCTGATGTTCCGTGTACTTCCGGCCAACTACACTCGGACCTTGTAGGAATCGCTTTCAGGGTCATATTTGTTACAACGTAATGGCATCAGTGTCACTAAAAAAAAATTGCTGAAAGTTCAGACTCATGTGGCATGTAAAGGCTGAAAAATCAGCCCCACAAAAAGTTGAACACTGGAAATTCAGGGTCGGTTAAAAAAAAACCCTGATATCGTAGGACCTGCCAGCGACGCCGGCAAAATCCATTGAGGTGTATTGAAAATATATATCAACGTGGTTAGGTTTTTTCGACATTTGGCGGGTAATCGTGCGTCCACGCGAACAACGAAATCTTCTCGCCACGAGATTGCGATATGTGTTACGGATGGTTCATTTGGATAAAACTCTTTAAGCGCAACAAAGGATACACTTTCAATACACTCTTGTAACACTGAGACATGGCATGAATATTACTCATTTTGCTGAAAAAATTTACGATGGAAAGCCTTTTGACCGAGGAAACTCGAATATGTTCTCACGCACAAGATGCATCTGCCCATGCAATGTTGTCAGCAAATAAATATTGTGTGCAAGACAATAAATATACTTGCCGGCCAGGCCTCTCATTATCAGACCAATTTGGTCTGAATTTCTGATTTTCAGACGTGATTTTTTGTATTCATCTGATTTCTAAGACATTCTGTTTTTTTCATCTGTTCGTATGATTTTCCAGACCATGTAGTATACTTAGTCTGAAATTACAGATATCGAGTTCGGTTTCATCTGAAACAGACAAATTAGCCAACTAGGCCATAGGACTACTAGGCCGTACGCCCAGTAGACCATAGGACCACAGTTACAAGTATGGTTGTTGCCCTATACCTGCAGGCGCATTCAATGTGCGTGTCTTGTAGCAGCCTCGCTGTCACGTACCTGCGACATTTGCTGCCAAGAGACTGTCGTGTGGCTGGCTGTCGGCGCCGATGCCAGCCACAGCCACGGCAACGCGGTGTCACATTGTGCCAGCGCACTTTCCTTTCGTACACATTACGTAACATTGGACGGTGGTTGTCCTGTCCCCCCCTCCCATCACGCATCGCCTTTTGATTCATACTGCACGATGACGGGGTTTCATGCAGCTGGGCGAGACTTCCTAACGTTAGAATGTGATCAAGAGCTGGCTTCGCGGGAACCTGTGTGACGCGAAGCTAGGGGAGCTGATGACCATCTCGCTTCTTAGCTATGACATGGAGTGGCCCGAGTTACTGAGGAGGTTTAATGCTTCCAAGAAACGCAGGCCTGCCAAGGATGTGCTGATGGCTTCCGGGGAGAGACAAAGCAAGCGCGCGAAGAAAAGATCTGCCTCAGCAGCAGCAGCAGCCGCAGCATTGGCAGCAGCAGAAGCTGCAGCCCGAGAAGCAGCCCGAGAAGCAGCCCTAGCAGCAGAAGCCGCAAGGCTTGATGCAAAGTACCCCAGGCTTAGTCAGAAAGATAAGGGAAAAGTTCCTGACCCTTTTGCGGAAAGCGAGGATGACACTGATGATGACGAAGACAGCGGTGGTAGTGACCCTGACTAGGTTGCGAGGTGTCTAGGATGTGGTAACTGCTTAACATGTTGATAGATGTATGGCATAGTTAGGCTAAGTAGGAAATTCTACGTATTATTACTTTGTGGTAGGTTTAGACCAAGGAACTTTTTTCGTCTGATGGATCAGACTGCGTAGAATTTTTTGTCTTTAGAGTCAAACAACAGAAAGTTGGCCATCTTGGCATCAGACAAAAAAAAAAAATTAGTTATACTTTCAGACAGGCCCAAAACCTAGCGAGAGCCCTGTTGCCGGCGTCGCTGGCGAGCGTAATTATCATACGCAGACGCAGTCAATTACATGCTCGCAAGCAGCCGCCAAAATCAAATAGTATCAACACACGTTGTCAGAGGTGTTACAATCCTAAACAAGACTTTGCCAGGGATCGGCAAAAGGTTGTTCGCACGTAGTGTTGCAGCGGGAGTGTTGACCTCAGGTGAGGGTGAATGTAAATGACTGAGATAATGAATGCATGCATACATCGTGTTAATATAGGAATACAAGTCTCTGCTTGCACATTCACGGGGAGAAATTGCAGGAGTTTCACTAGCAAAGATTGACAACAGTGGTAGCAACAACATTGGCAACAACGACTACATCAGATGCTAGCATGCAAGCAGGTCGACTGCCAGCGCAACATGGTCGACCGCGTTCCAGCGCTGCATGGTCGACCGCGCTCCAGAAGTGCAAAGTCGCGACCTGCCAACGCTGCAAGTCGACGGCGTGTCAACGCTGCAAGATGGCGGCTGCACAGTGTTGCACCCGCAGGACAGCATCGCACCCGCTTCGCAGGTGCTCGCAGGTGATTGGCGTGCTGTGCCTTGTCATCCGCACAGCGCAGAACACCAGGTCATCCACTTGCTGCCAGCTGCACATGATCAGCCACGTCGACCTCGGGGTACCACGCCGAGGTCGGTTTCGCCACAA